TTAAAAAAAAAAAAAAAACTTTTAATGCTGAGGATGTACCTCGGTACACATGCTTATCAGCTATGCACGAAGCCCTGAGTTCAGTCCCCAGCGCTGCAAAAAAAATATAAAGCTCAAGGCCAGGCTTGGAAGTACATGTCTGTCATCTCAAGCTATTTGGGAGGTTGAGGGAGGATGATTGTAAGTTCAAGACTAGTCCAGGCAATTTAGTGAGACCCTATCCCACACTCACACACACACACACACACACACACACACAAATAATTAAAAAGGACTTGGGAGCTGGCCATGGCGGGTGCATGCCTATAATCCCAGTGACTAGGGAAGCTGGGGTAAGGGAGGAGGATCTCAAATTCAAGGCCAGCCCGGACAACTTAGCAAGACCCTGTGTCAAAAAAAAAAGAAAAGAAAAGAAAATGACTAGGGGTAGTCCTTTTGGTCCAGGCAAAGTATCCCTGGATTTGATCCCCAAAATTAAGTCTCTAGGGGAAAATATAAAATCATATTTAGGCAAGCAGGGGGGGTTGACACGGTGTTGCACGACTGAAATCCCAGGGACTCGGGAGGCTGAGGCAGGAGGATGGCAAGTGGGAGGCCAGCCTCAACTGTAGGAGGTGCGACCTGAGCCCTGGACGAGAGACCAGACCCCGATCGTGTTACGTATAAAGTCGCCTCCACAGGCCACAACCCCCTGCCCCATCCCCAAGCCTCAGTTTCTGCACCCACCAAGGGGGTTAGAAAACCTTGCAAGCCCCTAAGGACCTGGGTTCAGCGCCCTCAGCCCAGGCCGCAGGCCCGTTGCCCCTGGCAACCGCGAGGGCTCACAGGAGTGGCTCCCGCCATCCCCTCCCGGGCTCGGCCTCCCGCTCCTCCCCAACTGCCCCGCTTCTCACCACTGATCGATTTTATCTTTCCACGTCAGCACGGACCTCATCGCAGCTTTCCTCCCGCCTCGGGGCCCCTCCTACCCCCGCCTCAGCAACAGGCGCCGCTACGCGGGCCACTTCGGCTACCTGCGCTACCCCTGGCAACGCACATGCGCACAACAACACCTACGCGCGTGCGCCCGCAGAGCTCCGAGGGCGCATGTCTACGAGGGAGCGCGCGCACAGGAGCGAAAGCGCCGATGGAACCGGAACTCGGAAGGCGGGAGTGTAGCTACGGCGTACGCGATTGGTCGGCGCGGGTGAGGAGGCGGAGCGTCCTCCTCGACCAGGGATTTGATTGGCGGAGCCGTGGAAATGGCGGCTGCGGTCCAAGGGGCGGTCGGAAAGCGGCTGTGGAGTGTGACAGACTTACCTTACCTGAACGCTTTGGTGGCATCCCGGTGCCTTGAATCGAAGGAAGTTTCACCTCTTCCTCTGCTTCGCCCTCAGGCCGTTGCAGGTCTCGGCCTGTCGCTGCACCTGGGCCCCGCTTGACTGGCTCAGCCTGGATGGAGACGCCGAGCCTGGGGGACGGCGGACCCGCCCCCTCGATGGCCTCCAGTGACCTCCCAGTCCCAGAGCAGCCGTGTGACCTCCGGCAAGTTCTTTCCCCTTCCGAACCGCAGTTCCACCACCTGAAAAATGGGAACGGCGGGTGGACGGTCTGTGGGCCCCTCTGGTCTTCGGCAGAGGGTCGACCAAGACCTGGAGGCCCATGGGCTTAGTTAATAACCCCGGGAGAAGGTCGCTCCTCCTGTAGGATGAGCCCTGGGACAGGTTGTCCCTGACTTTCTTTACTCCAGCGACTAGAAAGCTGGGAGGAGCAGGGAACTTTTGTGGTACAGGTAGAGAGCGCGGTGGCACACGGAGGCTGAGGGAGGAGGATGGCAAGGTGGAGGCCAGCCTCCACAATCTAGAGACTCTGTCTCAAAATAAAATCAGGGCTTGGGAACGTCGCTCAGTGGTAAAGCATCTCTGGGTTCAATCCCTAAAAAAAAAAAAAAAAAAAAAAGGTGTAGTTCGGTTGGAAACTCCTACAGATATCATGGAGGAGATGTGTTCAGTAAGCAGGGCAGCCCAAAAGTGGGTTTTAAAAGAGGAAACTACAGTTCTTTTTGCATACTTGGATGTGTGAGACATGAGTGTAGGATGACTTGCCTACATGTTTTTTAAATTTTTTTTTAAATATTTATTTTTTAGGTGTAGATGGACACAACACAATGCCTTTATTTTTATTATAATAGCTGGGTGCGGTGGCACGTACCTATAATCCCAGCAGCTGAGGAGGCTGAGGCAGGAGGATCCCGAGTTCAAAGCCAGCCTCAGCAATGTAGTGAGGCCCTAAGCAACTTAGCAAGGCCCTGTCTCTAAATAAAACATTAAAAAAAAAAAAAAAAAAAAGGCTGGAGATGTGGCTTAGTGGTTAAATGCCCCTAGGTTTAATCCCTGGTACCAAAAAGAAAACTTTAAAATAGGTCTATGCAATGATTAACCCAGAAAGTTTCTAGCAAGTAGCTTGAGCTTCTCATTGTAAAGAGCTGATCACTTGTTTTTCCAGCGACGAAGACGTGGCTGTGGGATCGGAAAGAGTGGGAGAAGATGAAAGACCAATAGCGATAAAAAGAATCAGCGAGTGTGAGCCCCTGCTACAAGAAGCCATCGCCTCTTCTCAGTTGGGTGACCCCGCAGTGACCGAGTGCCATAAGCCTGTCCCGTGTGGATGGGAAAGAGTCGTGAAACAAAGATTATCAGGGAAAACAGCAGGAAGATTTGATGTCTACTTTATCAGGTGAGCATGCAAGGTGGTAAATAAAGATGGTGCAGCCAGATAATTCTGTCTAGGCAGATAGAGGGGAGACATAGAGGAATCTTGGCTTCTTGCTAATTTTGCCATCCTGCCAATGGATTCTGTTTGTTCACTGTGACTGGTTAATTATATCAAGTAATTTGAGGTCAGTTGCATACATTTTGTCCCTCCAACTGGGAATGACATTGATGGTGCCGTTGCATTTGAGGTATGTTTGTGAATTTATTTGTGCTGTTACAGAGGAAGCCATTTGAAAATTCCCTTTAGGACTCTTTTTTTCTTTTCAAATGACAAATGCCCATGACAACATTTAGAAATTATCAGTTAGAAATCTGAAAGGTGATTCAGTTCTTTTTTAAAAGTCACTCATGCTGATATAGGGTATGGTAGTACACACCTGTAATCCCAGCTTCTCAGGAGGCTGAAGCAGTTTGAGACCAGCTAGACAGCTTAGCAAGACCCTGTCCCTTCATAAAAGTTTTTAAAAGGGCTAGGGTTGAAGCTCAGTGATAGAATGCTTATGCCTGAGGCCCTGGGTTCAGTCCTCAGTATCCCAAAAAAGAAAAAAAAAAAATAGGCACTTTTATTTGCTAGCATTAAGTTTCCTTTAATATCATTTTCTAGCCCACAAGGACTGAAGTTCAGATCCAGAAGTTCACTTGCTAATTATCTTTACAAACATGGAGAGACTTCTGTTAAGCCAGAAGATTTTGATTTTACTGTACTTTCCAAAAGGGGCATCAGGTCAAGATCTAAAGACAGCAATGTCGCAGCTCCGACAGCCCAACTGCAGAATGAAAGTCATATTTCAACCCGGAACCTCAGGACCCGAAGCAGGTGGAAGAAAGTGTTTCCTCTGCCCAGTAGTAATTCAGAGCTGCAAGATAGCAGGGGACTGTCCAGCCCTGAGTCCATTCAGGTGCTTTTGGAAGAAGATGAGGGTAGTAATGATGGTAACTCCAGGAAGGTTAGCAAGTGCAAAAGGAAGGTGACAATTTTGAAGGGAATTCCAATTAAGAAAACCAAAAGACGGTGCAGAAAGAGTCTTTCAGGTTCTGTTGAAAGTAATGACAAAGGAGAATCTCCGTGTGACCAGACAGATGCTGAAAGAGAACCTGTCACCCAAGACGGTGAGCTGGGCAGAACTTTGTGCATCTCTGACGCCAGACTGAGCGACAAGACCCTCAGTGTGACCGATAAAGTCAAGAGCACCGTGAAAGAAAACTCACCCAATTCAGGATCAGACGTTCACTCTGAACAAATAACTTCTGGCGCCCCAAACAAATTATGTTCAACCAAAGAAGCAGAACGAAACAAGAAGTATGGGGAGACCAATTTAGAATCAGAGGAAAACAGATCGAAAGGAGACGAGGGGCAGAGGAAGGAGCATTTGCATATGGACCTTTTAAAATGTGGCTTTGAAACAGACAACAAATGCTCACAAGGCAAGAGAGGTTTTACTTCTGAGAAAATATTTCATGGTATTCAGTGCATTTAATGCTATTAGCCATGGACTGAGAAGGCTCCACTTCCACATCTTATATTTCGTGTCTGTCCATGGTTAAGACACAGTCTAGACAAAGAAATAGGGCTATATCTTAGATATATTCTCCAGATCATCCTAAGACCCTGTTAACTGACCTTCTTCCCATCCTCTTTCCAGCCAGTCATCTTAAAACTGGAAAGAAAACTAAAAGACTTGTGAAAAATTCTCAGAAGATTCCTCTTATTCACCAACTGACAATAGCCAGTGTCTTTGCACATCTCCTGTTACTTACTACTGAAGTGCGACTTGCAATTTAATTTCGTACATCCCACGGTCACTTTTGTCTTCTATTATAATGTAGTGCTTCTCTAAAAGGCCTAAGGGTTCTAAATAATTCAGAAGTATAATCACATAGTTCATCTATTATTCGTAATATGCTCTTAATAGAGAGTTCAGAGCTGAGCTGTTTGGCTTTTAAAATACCTCCGTGAATAATTGATAAAAAGGACATCTTCTGAGCAGCCCTGTATTAGTTATTCATTATGCCATTATGGTATAATGAATACCTCCCTTAAAGGAGAATAGTAATAGTACTTAATAATCCTGTGGGGGCCAAATTGGTTGAGTGGGGGCTTGGACTTGATTTCTGATCTCAAGCCCCCCATAATTCGATGTCTCCTCTGTGCCTGGGATTTCTCTCCCTGTGACAGAAGATGGCCGTGTATACCTGGGAACTCAGAGGGTCCAGTCTGTCCTAAGACTGAGCATCTTAAAAGAAAGCATTGGGGTTTATGTAGATTTATTGCTAATATAATGGACAAATTAAATATTTAAAAGGATGACTAAGATGAAAGTATTCTATTCTGTAAGTTTGGTTCTCAATAAGATGAAATAATACCCTTAGCTTACTAGGTGTCCAGTGGAATAGTAAAGATTTTCTTATTGGTTGAGCTAGAAATTGCTAAGAGAACTAGTTATAAAGGAGGCTAGTTAGTAATTATTTATAGAAACCCACAGAAAACGTTAGCAAGTAACTAACTGGTAAGAGCATTTATTTTTTATTTTTATTTTTTTCTTTCTACTGGGTTTGATCTACTCAAAATAGAAGAGCAGAAAACACTCAACCAATCTGGAGACCTGGACACTTGTCCCAGTGTCCTCAGTCCCAGTATCATTTGGGGATAGCTGCTTCATTTCTGAGCCTCCATTTCTTCATCTGAACAATAGAAATAATAGCCCTCCCTAGTCCCATTTTTCACATCAAGAATATTGTAAGTTAAATCGAGAATGGAAAAAATGGTTTCGTGGTATTCATATGCAAGGTATTATTAACTGTAATTCAAATTTTGAGGGTATGAGTGGAGGAAGTAAGTAAATAGGACTGTTAAAAATAAGAAAAGTGGCCACTCACCAATAGCCATTATGCCATTTTGGTTTATGTCTTTTATTTTTGTATTTTTATTTTTTAATTTTTGAGACAGTTCTGAGGCTTGCCTGAACTCGCTGTCCTCCTGCCTCAGCCTCCCAAGTAGCTGGATTAAAGGCTTGCCCCACCATGCTCAACTGGTTTCTGTCATTTTTAACCCATGATGTCCTGGCATCCTATATACAGGGACATCATGGGTCAGTGTCTTGCTATGTCTGCGCAAACATACATGTATGTTTTTATGAAATTGGGATCATACGTAGAATCTTGCTTTTTTCATTTATAAGTTAATAGAAAATAATCATGTATTTGTTAGTATATATAATATTTATATTAAAAATATCTTATATTGAAAAATATATAAAATATATGATTTTATATTTTGATGACCACATTGAATAAATGGGTCATAATTTAAAATATTCCA